TTTAAAAATATGGAGATTTTAAGTTTAAAGGAAAAAAAAGAAACTGTTCAATTAAAAGAAAATCTCATGACATTACTATTGCCCTTGAGTGGCTGAAATGTTTGAACACATTTGAACAAACATGGGCTTTGTTCCTTTCTGCAAACATTATTTCTGTACAGGGTGAATATACAGAAAGAATGGAATATTTTATGGATGTCATCATTAGACTTCGCATACAAAGTAACAGAGTGACAGGACTGATTGACTCAGCACCATAAAGAAAGTCAGGAGGGAGCTGGAGAGATGAGTTGGTGGTTGACACAAGGAGCATATGAGCAGCATGAGGAAGCATCATCCCAAAGAACCCTAGACTGACTCATGCACAAAGGACAATGTGCAGCTTCCCAAACTCAGAGGACACTGTCAGGATGGACTGGGCAATACAGCAACTTTCAAATATTATACAAGGTCAGGATTTCTCCATCTCTCTTCTCCCCAATCTGGGACACAGACATCAACCGTAAGAAAAAACAGAGGAATCCACAAATGCCATGTGAAAGTCACACATGCTAAACACATTTGAATCTAACATAGGAAGAGAATACAGAACTTCATGCTAAGCAAATATTGTAAGTGAGTCTCATCAAAGGCTTATAGCCATTTTTGGGAGAAATGCATTAGTTAAAACAATAGAAATGACAAGGACTCCGAGGGGCACAAATATTTTCAAAGTAGGAACAAAACGAAAGACACAAAATTTACTAATTTCAAAATATGTAAAAACTTCATTTGATAGACATTAATATATATCAAAGAATGCATGAAATTTGTGGGGGATATAGAGGCAGTGCAGGTGGGGGAGGGGTGTAACACAATTAAATTCTTTAATGAAATCAACAAAATTTAAAAAAATATATATTTTGAAAAAATTTTGAAAGAGAAAAATATCAGCCATTATCTGGCAAGAAATCGGACATGAGAGATATGGGAATATTAAATACAAAATTAAATGAAGTGATATTTGCATACTAGTAATTTCCACATAATTCATGTGCAATAAAAGACGTCATTTGACATTTACTACAGGACAAACTGCCGGTGCCAGCTAGCCAAAACGGATAGTACCTGAAAGGGGGAGTGAGGATTGAAAGAAAGAAAAGGAGACAGAAAAGATGATGCTTCTTGGGAGGGCTCACAGTAAATACTGCAGCCTCAATTTATTTCAGTACTGTCTTTTTATACAGAAGAACTCAATTAGTTACAATTGCTGTATTTCCCCCCCTGTATCTGAGGGTCAGGGAGCGGTCAGATCAAAGGCTTCCTCTATTGCAGGTGTTGTGAGGCTCTCCATATAAACATATTCCTCCTAATAAGGCAGATTAGATACTGGTGTGCATAACACACACTCAGTAAACAAGCCTGACACAGCTCAATGATTAGCAGCTCCC